CGCGCATCCAGGGGGGCACCCGAAAGACTTCGCGGTTTTCTCCAGGGAGGTCTTGGGGATCCCAGGCAAGGAGCCAGGGTCGGGAGACTTCTGCGATTACGAGGACCAGGAACCCGCCCTGTGGCTGGACAACCTGCCTTCTTTTAAGAAGTGGTTCAAGCGGTCGGGCGAGGATTGGCTAAAAGGCTGAAACAGCGAAGGCACTCGACGGCCGAGGACGCTGGCCCGTTGCCGAACTTGCAGACTGCCCCCCAGACTTGTTGAAGGCCGCCGGGAGCTGCCTGCTTTGGCACCCTGGCGCCAGAGCGACAATCAGCCGTCTAAGGGCGCGTCGCTTCCTGCAGCCGGCTGGCGCCCAGCTCGACGTGCGCATTTCCATGGCGCGGGGAAGCAACGGCACGGGCGCGATAGCGGGGGCGGAGCTGGACCCAGACTTGCCCCGCTTCTTGCAGAGAGACCCGCGCTGGCAAAACTTGGCCAAGGAGCGCCTGGACACGGGGGCAACCGTTTCCAAATGCGTCCGAGGCGACGAGGCGACACAGGGCTTGAAAACAGAGGTCGCAGGCATCGTGGGCGACGAAAGACCCCGAAGTACCGCGGCCTCAACAAGGGCGGGAATTTGCAGATCACCCCCTCGCCCCACATGGCCGCCTTCGTGCGAGCGCTGCGGAAGAAGATGCGCCCGCGGCTGCAACAGCTGGGAGGCAACATGCGCGAGGCTGCCAAAGCCGACGGCATGCCACCTGCCATCGTCGAGCAGAACGGAAAGCCCATCATGACAGAGCACTTCGCCGACAACGCGTTCGCGTACGCATCGATCCAGCTCATGCAACCAGGCGCACGGGACGATGGTTGGCACACAGATGGTGGATGCTCCCTGTTGCACGCGGCCGCGACGCTTTTCGGGGCGCGCTCCGTGCAAGGGAGGATCCCAGGGGGGGCACATGATGGGGCGCCCCCCTCGAGCGCAGCCTCCTGCGGAAGGGCCGTCGCCCTCGAGCAAAAGCCTGGGTCCTTCTACATGGGCACCCTGTCCTCCCTCGAGCACAACGTGCACCGCCGCGCCTCCGCGGACTGCCAGGACTGGTTCGCGACCCACCACGAGCTGCAACAGCGCGTAGACGACAGCAGGCTGCAGATCGCCGTCACGATCCGCTCCGACGTCTTTTGGGCGTTCAGGGCGCGCAGGATCGACGCCACGCCTGGCCCGAAGGAGTTCTTCCACGTCGTGAACCGCGTCGTGGCCGATCACCTGGCACGGGTCCCCGTGGCGCTGCCCGACCTCGCGGAGGTGCTTGACGAAATGCGGTGGCCCGCTTCCACGGAGGCTGTGGTGCTTTCCGATTCCGATTAGGTTGCAACAGTATCCGAATCCGATTAGATTGCCACAGTACTCAGCATCATCATCAGCATCATCATCTCCATCGCCATCATCATCGCAATCATCGGCTTCATCATCATCGTCATCATCATCATCAGCATCAACACGTTCACGCCGCCATCATCGTCATGCGGGTCATGATTTAATCACCATCATCACTACATGATGATGACGATGACGAGGAGATGGTGATGGGTATTATGATGATGACGATGATGAGGAGATGGTGATGATGATGGCGATGACGCGGACGATGATGAATATCATGACGACGATGATGACGATGATGGCGATGATGCAAAAACCGAGTGAGTCGGTTGAGTCCGAAAAGCCAGCCTTAAAGACACCCAGCACTTATACGAAAAATCAAACGAAACATATACGAAACAGATACGAAACATATACGGAACATTTACGGAACCCATACGGAACAGATACGAAACATTTTTCGAAACATATACGGAACCGATGCGACACATAGACGAAACATATGTGACATGTGTACGAAACATATACGGAACATGTACGGACCATTCACGAAACGTGTACGAAACATATACGAAACATATGCGAAACATATGCGGTCCATATACGACACATATACGAAGCATTCACGGACCATTTTGGAACCATATACGAAACATATGCGACACATAAACGAAACACATATACGAAGCGTATACGACATGAGTACCTTATCCGAAGCAGACACGAAACGTATACGAAACGTATGCGCATACGAAACGCATGCGGCACATTTACGAAACATATACGCAACATATACGAAATATTTACGGAATATATAGGAACCGTGCACGAAACATATACGACACATATACGACACATATACGAAGCCTATACGAGACACCCATACGAAATGTACCCGAAACATTCCGCGAATCATGCGCGGAGAAACGCGACACATATGCGAACCATTTACGAAACAGCTACGACAACATATACCACACATACACGGCACATCTACGGAACATATGCGGAACATATACGAACCATATACGAAACATATACGAAACATACACGACACATTATACGAACGATGTGCAAAACATATGCGAAACATATGCGAAACGTATACGGAACGTGCACGAACCGCATACGCAACGTAGACGAATCACACGCAACATGCGCGAAACGTATACGGAACATATACGAAGCAAATACGAAACATATACGAAACAATACGAAACACATACGACACATATACGAAACACATATACGACACGCATGCGAAACATTGACGGGCATATACGAAACACATACGACATTGTTCACGAAACGGTTGTACGAAACGTATACGACATGTATACGAACGGTATCCGACACATATACGAAACCTATACGAAATAGATGCGACGCCTATACGAAACAGATACAACACAGACGCGACGCATATACGAGCCATATACGAAACATATGCGACATATATACGTACCTTTTGCGAAACATGCACCAGACATGTTCGAAACAGGGGCGAAACATCTACTACACATTTACGAAACATACGAAACAAAACATATACGAGCCATAAACGAAACATATTCGAAACAGGTACGGACTTGTTGCGGCACATATGCGAACCATATGCGAAACCGATATGAAACCTATACGAACCATGTACGAACCGCATACGAAACAACTACGACACATACACGACACATGCACGAAACATATACGACACCGTTCAACACATATACGAAACAGATACGACACATGTACGAACCGAACCATACACGAACCATATACGAAACAGTTACGAACCATTTACGAAACATATACGGAACACTCACGGAACACATGCGGAACGTATACGAAACGTAAACGAAACATTACACGACATATACACGACACATGTACGACACATACACGAAACATATCTGAACCGTATACGAAACATATACCAAACATTTACGACACATATACGAACCATGTATGAAACATCTACGAAACATATACGAAACAAATACGACACTGATGCAACACATCATACGAAACATATACGAACCATATACGACACATATACGAAACATATACGGAGCATATATGACACATGCACGAAACGTATACGAAACGTACACGAAACATATACGACACATATACGCAACATGCACGACACATATACGAAACGCGCACGGCGCGTCCGCGGCACAGAATCCGCACCACACTCCTTACACTCCTTACACCAGATAAATTTGGCGAACAGAAGGAGGTCAGCCCTAGCCTTAGTAGTATTATATATATATATATATAATATATATATGTGTATATATATAATATATATATATATATATATATATATATATATATATATATGAGTAGGTCGGGGGGGAAATCGGTGCCGTCATCCCCCATGGCCGCCCCCCGAACCTCTGGGGAGTCACAGTCCCCCCGGGGCTGCCCCGGGCCGCTTCCAAACTGCCCACGACAGGCCACGCGGACCGTATGGTCAAGAAAGCCTGAAGGGGCCCCGAAGACGCCAAAGAGCGCCCCAAGAGGGCCCGTGAGGGCCCCAAGAGGGCCTTCAAGAGGCAAAGAGTTGCCCATTTCCTCAGTAGAGCGTGCGTTTTCAGTATACTTGCTGGCTTCGTCTTCACAGTGCCCCAGACGCCCCCGCGGAGCCCCAACACAGCCCAAGAGAGACCCAAGAGGGCCCAAGACGGCCCAAAAGGGTCGTCCTGTGGGGCTCACGGAACCCCCCGAGACGGCCCAAGAGGCCCCAAAGCCGGCCCAGGAGGCCCCCAAGACGGCCTCAGGAAGGCTCAAGAGGGCCTCGTTCGAAATCGTGTTCTCGGAGGCCTCTCCGGGAACATGATTGCCGGGTTCCGAGGACGCCCAAGTGGCCCACAAGACAGCCTCAGCGAGGCCCCAGAGGGCCCGAGATGGCTCGAAGATTGCCGAAGAGGGCCCCGAGAGGGCCTTCAAGAGGCAAACATCGGCCCATTTCCATTGTAAAACGTACATTTTCAGCATGCTCGCTGGCTTCGTCTTCGCAGTGCCCCAGACGCCCGCGAGGAGCCTCAAGACAGCCCAAGAGAGACCCAAGAGGGCCCGCCCAAAAGGGTCGGCGTATGGGGCTCACGGCCCAAGAGGCCCCGAAGGCCCCCAAGACGGCCCCAGGGAGGCCAAAGAGGGCCCCGTTCGAAATCATGTTCCCGGAAGCCGGGGACATGACTTCCGGGTTCCCAGGGCGCCCTACGGGGCCCCAGGACACCCTCAGCGAGGCCCAAGAGGGCCCGAGATGGCTTGAAGATGGCCGAAGAGGGCCCCAAGAGGGCCTTCAAGAGGCAAGAATTGGCCAATTCCCATCCTAAACGAACATTTTTGGCATACTCGCTGGCTTCGTCTTCACAGTGCCCCAGACGCCCCCGCAGATCCCCAAGACAGCCCAAGAGAGACAAGAGGGCCCAAGACGGCCCAAAAGGGTCGGCCTGTGGGGCTCACGGAACCCCCAAGACGGCCCAAGAGGCGCTGAAGCCAGCCCAGGAGGCCCCCAAGACGGCCCCAGGGAGGGGAATCCGTAGCCATTTTGGCTCAAGCCAGGAACTAGGGAATACAAGCATCCGTTGGTTATGACCTTCAGGCCTGGAGCGAATCAGCCCAGATGGTACGCCGCCCAGGTGGGTTGGTCGAGCTCTCCGCCCTGGTCGCCACCGTGGCATCCACGCCCGCGGGCAAGCCGCTCACTCCGGCGCCTGCCCCGACGGCCAGTCCGATCCGCAGCCCGATGCCCAGCCAGATGCCCAGCCTGAGGACAGGCCCGGCGCCCACGTTCCCGACGCCTGCTTCCGATGCGGCCTGCATGTGGGCGAGTATCATCGGCGAGTGTTCGCTTCACGGTGTCTGCGTGCAGAGCCCAAACTACCCACAGAGCTACGGCGTGGATCAGACGTGCACCTTGGAGATCAGTACGGCTTTCTCGGCGCCCCTCGCGGTGGATTTTTTCGGCACCGAGGCGTACTTCGATACGCTCACTGTCAACGGAGTGCAGCACTCTGGAGCTAGGGGTCCCAGTGGAATGATTCCGACAACGAGTATCTCGTGGGTGTCAGACCACAGTGTGCCTGGCAGTGGTTGGAGGTTGTGCCAGGCTTCGAGTCAGGTTCAACCACGGACCTCGGCTTTCACGACGAGCGATGGCCAGTTCCAGCTAGTCTTGGCCACTGAGCAGGTCTCGTGCTGCCAGAATTCTCCAACCAGTAGTGTATCGTCGACCCAATCGGGCGCGGTCCTGTTGTGGCCATGTGTTTACTCTGCAGCGCAAGGTAGTTGGGCTGATAATTGCGGCGGGGGACACACTCGAACATTTCAGGAATGGATTGATGGCTGCTTTGAAAGCACAATGACTGATAGGATTTGCATCGATTCGCAGACTTACGTGTATGTCCAAGTCGCGCCAACCCCGTCCCCTGTGGCCCAGGAGTACAGTATGTGGGCAGCTGTCACCGGCTATTGCACGTTGGATGGTTCTTGCGTGGAGAGCCATAATTTCCCGCAGAATTATAATAATAATCAGGGGTGCATTTTGGAGATCAGTGCGGAGTTTTCAGCGCCTATCATAGTCGAGAGCTTCAACACGGAGGCGTCTTTCGATTATCTCACTGTCAATGGACAGCTTTACTCTGGAAGTGCTGGACCCAGCGGTATCACGCCGACATCCAGCATCAGCTGGACTTCTGATCACACCATAACCCAGAGCGGCTGGAGACTGTGCGCCGCCCCACCGACGCCTGCTCCACCGACGCCAGCTCCACCACCCACGCCAGTACTGACGCCGGTACCGGTGCAGACGCCAGCACCGACGGCAGTTCCGACGCCACCGACACCGGCCCCACAGCCGACGCCTTCTCCCGCGACGCTGGCGACACCGATCCCGACGCCCAACCCGACGTCCAGCGACTACTACTACTACTACTACTACTACTACTACTACTACTACTACTACTACTACTACTACTACTACTACTACTACTACTACTACTACTACTACTACTACTACTACTACTACTACTACTACTACTACTACTACTACTACTACTACTACTACTACTACTACTACTACTACTACTACTACTACTACTACTACTACTACTACCTACTACTACTACTACTACTACTACTACTACTACTACTAACTACTACTACTACTACTACTACTACTACTACTACTACTACTACTACTACTACTACTACTACTACTACTACTACTACTACTACTACTACTACTACTACTACTACTACTACTACTACTACTACTACTACTACTACTACTACTACTACTACTACTACTACTACTACTACTACTACTACTACTACTACTACTACTACTACTACTACTACGCTACTACTACTACTACTACTACTACTACTACTACTACTACTACTACTACTACTACTACTACTACTACTACTACTACTACTACTACTACTACTACTACTACTACTACTACTACTACTACTACTACTACTACTACTACTACTACTACTACTACTACTACTACTACTACACTACTACTACTACTACTACTACTACTACTACTACTACTACTACTACTACTACTACTACTACTACTACTACTACTACTACCCAGCAGCGGACCCAGCAGCGGCGGAGTGCAGCGACCTCATCGGTGGAGGCAATTGGACACTGGTCCGACACACCGCCAGCTCAAGATCATGGGGCCCATTCGCCGACGGCTTGCAGGGAACTGACGAGGTTGGATCTGAAAGATCAGGCCTTGATTCCTACCATTGGACAATACGGTGGGATTCCGATTTGGTTAAGGAGTTTATGTTCGCGACGGGCGACTGCGTGCACTGGCTCGTGACGACGCCGAGCGCAATTGGAGGCTCTCTGACAGGCGAATACTATGAATAACCTCGAGCAATTGTAAGGTCGTCCACTACTTTGGCAACGCACGCCGCAAAGTGGTTCAACAGAGCTGACAATGGTGAAGAACCATGGATATCTTTGAGTGATCATGGCAGGCTGAATGTCCTGTACGGAGAGTCGAGCAGTACGGATTGGTTGGCGTTGAAGAATTCACAGTTTGGTGCAAATGTGTTCATTCGCTATCGCTCAGCGACCATGGCTATCGACCCGGTGTTCGAGGCGGTTGGCGACATTACGCTGGATGGAAGCCCCGTGTGCCTATTCAATTCTGAGGGTGCCTCCAGTGACCTTCCTATATTAGGAATGCCGTACACTATTGAAGCGTGGGTCCAACCCGTAAGCAATATTGGGAAAGGCGGCATCGCTGGTTGGGGTGATTGGGGTTCTCCCACCGGAGTGAATGCATTCAGATTTGACGGGCCAAGTCGCCTGAATAATTGTTGGTGGGAAAGCGACCTTTCCGCGACAGTTCCGTCCCTCGATGACGGTCAGTTCCACCATGTTGCTGCGACTTGGGATGGGGCTACGCGACGGATTCTCGTGGATTTTGAAAATGTAGCTCGTGATCAACCGACGGGTCATGCTTTGAGCAGGACGGACAATTTCTGCATTGGAAGGGGCTGCAATGCGACTTGCACCCCGCACCAAAATATCATCGGCATTATCCGAGATGTTAGGGTTTGGAATACTGCTCGTACACCTCTCGAGTTGCAGGAAACAGCATCCACGCCAGCTCCAACACCTTTTCCGTGGTCTTGCACTTCGATCCGTGCAAGCACTTTCGTTTACGAGTACCAGTCGTATCATAGTATAGATGATGATTCCATAGTGTTGACAACCGATCAACAGTCATCCCTTGGGCGGGTCTCTTCGACTCTCGCACTGTCGGGTGCTTTTTTTATGCAGTTCGATATGTACCAGGGTGGTGGAACAGGTGCTGACGGGTGCTGTGTGAAGTACTGTGGTTATGACGATGACAGGTGGGGGGATAGGTCTGAGGATGGCCTGTCTGTTTGTTTTGATTCCTTCGGGCCGGATCGTGGCGCGGGCATTTCGTGGAATGGAGATATTGTGTTTTCAGAGTTGGGCGAACAATATTGGGATGATCCGGTTCCCCTCTTCGAGGATTCCGATTGGCACAGCGCCATTGTAAAAGTCACGCCGAGGGGAGGTGGTGCGGTGGTCGCGCTGAACTTAGATGAGAGTTACTACCACAAGACCGCCTGGATTAGTAACTAGTCGATTCCCATTGGTAGTGGCCAGTTGGGCTTCACTGCAAGAACAGGTAGTCTTACGAATTACCACATAGTCAAAGATGTCCAGGCGTGGGTTTCTTCAACAACGACCTCGACTTCTGCGACGACTGGGGCCAGGACTACCGAGAGCGAAATTCCTACCGCGACTGGGACTGCAACCGCTGAGCCCCCTACCATGACTGCCAGTGCGATTGCAGATGCCGCCACCACGACTGCTGCACTGGCATCGACTTCACTGACGTCTTCGGTGGCAGCAGGCGACACCGAGCTGCATGTGGAGTCCACGGTGGGGTTCGACGTCGGCGGCTCCATCGAAATCGAGGGCGGCGGCAACCGCGAGTCGGGGCTCATTGTGAGCATCGGGTCGTTCACGCTGGCCAGCGGGTTGGCGAACGGCTACCCCCTCGGCTCTACCGTCACCTACGTCACCCCACCACTACCAGGAACGATCACCAGCAGCGCGATGGCCACGTAGGAGGAGTCGGCTTGCAGGGGGGGGCGGGCGCGGGGGGGGCGCCGACGATCGCGCCGATTCCATCGCGGCCCGCTGCCCCTTCCCGGGACTCAGGAATCCTCCGGGCCCAGTCGGCCTCGCAGTCGGCCTCGCAGTCGGCTCGGCCGCCCGATGCGCCCCAAGAATCGCTCCGCCTCCCCCCCCGCCCCCCTCCCCCTCAAAACTCTTCGCGCTCCTGGAAAAACCATGCCGCCGAGGCGGGAGCTCGGGCCGCGGCCTGATGGTCCCCGGGGCACAGGGGAATCAAAGGAATCAGCACGGAATCAGTACATAATCAAAACAGAATCGGCACAACTGCGACCCCTGATTCTAGCGGGACCAAAAGAATCAGCACGGAATCAGCACGGAATCAAAGGAGGAATCGGCGATAGAACCAGAATCGGCCAGAACGGGGAAGTAGGCCAGAATCGGTGCCAGAACCCATGGAGAGAGGCCTTTTTCCCGCGAGTTCAGTGCGGCGGGTCCGCGGCGCGGGCGCGCCGCGCGACTTCGCTTGTTCAGCGAGGCGCGCAGTCGGCGTTCAGAGTGAACAGGTTGTTGTCAGGGCGATATCCTGGCGGCGCGCTGGCGCATTGCGCATTTGCGTATTCCTGGCGGGCTGTTCGAGGGCGACCCGGCAGCGCCGGCCGACTGGCCCGCAAATACCGCGCGGCCGATCGCGCGCCCCATGCGGTCACGTCGACCGCCGTGTGCCGCGACGGCCGCGCGCCCCGGACCGCGCCATTGCCGCGTTGGATTGGACGGCGCAGCGCCCGTCCTCCAAAAGTCGTTACATGCGTATCGCGCGTGTCGAGCCAGCAGCAATCGCTCCCAAAAGCAGCCTTGACAGGCGCCCCATGCCCGTTGTCGCCCGGTTCCGATCCAAATCATAGTTTCTTAGGATGCGCTTGCGCGAATGTGAGCGCGCGGGCAAGTAGCGCGTGCGCGCGCATGGCGCAGCCTGGGAAATCCAACATGGAGCCCCCCGGGGGCGCGGGCCGGCGCGGGGCGCCGGCGACGCCTCCGCCCGCCTCCCGCGCGCCCGACCCCCCCCGCAAGCCGACTCCTCCTATGGCCACGAGCACTTCTGCACCGCCACCGCCAACAGTCACGAGCGCTACCCCCTCATCCAGCACCGCCGCCAGGACGAGCGCTGGGCCCATGATCGATCAGGACCAGATCTCAGATGCATCAACAGTAGTTGTCGTCGGCATCGTTGGCTCCTGCCTAGCCTGCGGCACTATGTGCGCCGTGCTGTGCTGCTTGAGCCGTCGGTTCTTCAGCCGAGGCGGAGATCTAGAAGTGGAGGTTGGACACCCCGATCCGAGCAAAGACGGATTGTCTGAAGTGCAGGTTGAACCGAAGATCGTCGAAGAAGACCTTGAAGCGGAGCTTGGTCATCCGGGTGCGTTCAGCGACGACGATTCTGAAGCGGAGATCGGGCGTCCAGGTCTGGATGAGACCGGGGACCAAGTTACCCAGAATGGTCTGCGTAAGAGCATGGATTTTTGGTTCGTCCCCGTGAGCGAGATCATGCGCATGCCGGTCGACGCTCCAATCCCGCGCCATCAGACGTGCCGTGACATGGGATTGTTGGTCAAGCGGAGGATCGACATCGACGACGTCTTGTCTGGAAACCTTCGCGTTGACACAGCGGCCGTGTCACATCGTTGGCCAGTGCCAGAGCATTTCGATCCGCAGTGCACCAAGTTGAGTAAATTGCAAGAGGTCTTGCCACGTACACCTTCCATTAAGTGGCTGTGGATTGACTGGATCTGTGCTCCTCAATGGCACGACGGTGGGCGCACCGATGAGGAGGAGGTTGAATTCAAGATGATTTTAAAACACATTCTTCCATTCATCTTCCTCGGGTGCAAAGTGATCGTCTTGTACGAGCGAATCTACAACCAACGGTTCTGGCCAAATGTGGAGTGTTGGATTGCCACCAAAATGGCGACACCTCACGGGCTCGTTCCGGCTAGCGACGATCGTCTCCGAGTGCTAGTCCACGGCATACATTCGGCTGGCGGGCACGATAAAGCCAACCTTGCACAGGTACTAGAGTATTGGCACAGGGCCACTGCGCAAGAAGCAATCACGATTCTCTCGCACGACGATATCCTTGTCACCAACGCGAAAGACAAGGAAGTCAATCTCAAGGTGGTTGCGTCTTTGGACGAGCAGATCCGGTGCCATCACAGCTCGTTACACGTCGTTCAGTCCATACGGCAGTTTGTCCCTCTCTGAGGGCAGGAGGAACGGGAGGTGGAGAAGGAGGAGAGGGGGCGGGGTACTAGAGAAGGGGTCGAGGAGGGCGAGGAGGAAGTTGGGCAGGAGCAGTGGTCTGCTGATTGATGCAAGGGGAATGACAATGGCTGCTCTGTGGCGAATGTAGAGGCAGGTGTCTGAGGCATGCGGCCCTTGCACAGCGATGTTGGGCCGCCTTGCCAGCCGCCTCGCCATCCTCGCTGGCGGTATGGTGGTGGGGGCGGTCGTTCTCGCTTCTCCCCGTTTCCTCTCATTGTTCCTTGTCCTCCCTCGTCGTCCTCGTCTTCCTCCACCTCCGTGCTTTGACGCCCCCTGCGCTTCTGATGCTCTCGCGCAGAGGCGTCGCGCTCCTGACTGGAGAGCTACTCTGCTCTCGAAGACGCGATGCTCTTGCGTTCATACTCGTCGGCGGCCCCGCAAAATCTGTTATTCGCAGGAGCTACAAAGGGCGGTGCACACCCGCCGCGTTCTGTGCCATCTCGCTCCAGGGCCTCTTCCATGAGAAGGCCTCCTGGTGCTCAGTGCGGCCGCTCTCTTGGCCGTGGTGCTCCAATCCAATACGCGTCCCTCCAGGAATTACCTGGCGCAGACCTCTTGTTTCTCCTCCTCCTCCTCCTCCTCCTCATCCTCCTCCTCCTCCCTCCCTTCCTCCCACGGCACCTGCTACAGTTCGGCCTGTCGCTTCGGGGGGTTCGGTCTCACCGCCGACAGTGCCTCCAGCTCTTCTCAGGCGCCCTGAGGCTGGGAAACGGTCAGGCAGATGGGTGAGATGGCGGTGGGGACCCAGTATCGTCAGCCAGCGTCCGCCGAGTTCAGCTGGCAGCAGGCGCTTACTCGAATTGATCGCGAGAGTGTGTGTTCGAGCCCCCTTTTGTTCGTCCTGCTCCCGCTCCTGGTGCTCCTTCTGGGCTGCGACCGATTCGGGGCTTCCAGGCTTTTTGTTTCGTGCCGACGCCGAGGCGATATCATCGTCAATCTCGGCCCCTCGGCCGCCGGGTAGTTCGCGTCGAGAAGGGGTGGCGCCCATCGCCGTGCCTAGCATGTACTGGTGTCCCCACAAGCAGCGCGCGCTGGTGGGGGAAGTTTTTTTTCGCCGCCATTCAGGCGCTGCTCTCTCGTGCTTTCCCGCGCGCCGTGGATCGCTCGGACAGCGCCCCAGCGGTCTTGCTTGTTTGGCCGTCGTCCCGCGCAGTTGTGTAGCAGGTGATTTGATCAGCTGCACTGTCAGCATCAGTTGTTGAAGCACATGTCTCCAGGAGCTCGAATCCAATTCAATGCAATCCCAGCATTCCCCCTGCCCTGACCAGCAGGCATTCCCTCAATTCTGCTTGCAACAGCGAGGCGGGGATGCACCGCAGTTTCACCGGTCCTCTTTTTCCAGGGCCTGCGGACCTCCATGTCCGCCTGCCCGTGCGTTCAGCGCCGCGGCCCCGCCGGGCGGCACTGCGCGGAGGCCCGAGAACTCGGAGGGGTGCCGCGCGAGACTCCCAGAGATCCGATGTCGTGATTTTCCATGCGGCCCCCCAGAAGTCCCGACCCATTCCCCAGTCGGGGCTCAAAAAAAAAAAAGACGGCCCCAGGGAGGCCCAAGAGGGCCCCGTTCGAAATCATGTTCCCGGAAGACTCTCCGGGAACATGATTCCTGGGTTCCCAGGACGCCCAAAGACAGCCCCCAGAGGCCCCGGACACGCCGAAGATGGCCTCAGGACGGCCGACGACGCCGCCAAAACGCCCCACCCCTCCAAAGGGCCCCAGAAGCCGAAAATCATACATTTTCCAATTGTTTTTGAAGCATTCTTGCGCTCTCCCATGTTCCGCCTCCCCACGGTCCCAGACCGCGTCAGAGGCCCTTCAGATCGCTCCAAGACGGCCGAAGAGGCTCCCAAGAAAGCCCAGAGACTGCCCAGGAGGCTCCCCAGATAAGTCAAGAGGGCCTCGAGAGCGCCCCGAGAGAGCCCCAAGAGCGACCCAAGAGGGCCCGAAGAGCGCGACATTTCGAGGTCTCCAGCCTGAGAGGCTCTTAGGACGCCCCCGGAGGCCATCAAGAGGCTCCCAAGAAGCCACGTGAGGCTCCCAAGAGGCCCCCCGGAAGCCCCAATAGGCCCCCAAGGGACCCCCAGGGAAGCCCCCTGCGGGCCCCCAAGACACTTCGGTAAATCGTATTTCCCAGATAGTGTTCCGGGAACATTATTCCTTGGGCTTCCGCCCACCGCCCCAACTTTCCAATAGGCTTGCCGACAAGGCCAAAAGGCGCCCCTCGGTAAGCCCCGAGAGGCCCCCCCCTCTTAGAGAGTCGAACAAATCATGCTCCCGGAAATTGTTCCGGGAACACGATTCTCTATCTCGGAGTAGGCCCGGGGGGGGGGGGGCGGGCCGCTGCTTGTTCCCTCCATCGGTGCCCACCAGGGGTTGCGGGGGGGAGTCCAGAGCTCCCGAGGCGGCCCGAGCCCGCCCGCCGAAGCAGGCCACGACAGGCTAAGGGGGTCCTGAGAGGGCCCTAGACGGTCCCACGAGGCCCCGAAGACGCCCAAGATGCCCTCAAGACAGCCGATGAGGACTCGAACACGCTCCAGGACGGACTCAATAGGCTCCCCAAGAGGGCCCTGGGAGGCAAGATTCACTCGTTTTCCGAGTGTTTCGGATTTCGGCGTTCTTGTTTTTCCCGCTTTCCAGCGCTCCCTCACGGCCTCGGAGGACTTTCAGATCGCTCCAAGAAGGCCCACGAGGCCCCGACGAGGGCCCCAAGACGGCCCAGGATGTTCCCCAGACAACCCAAGTGTGCCCCAAGAGCACGCCAAGAGAAGGCCCAGAGGGGTCCCGAGGCGGCCCGGGCCCGCCCCGAAGCAGGCCACGACAGGCTAATGGAGGTCCCGAGAGGGCCCTAGACGGTCCCAAGAGGCCCCGAAGACGCCCAAGCTGCCCTCAAGACGGCCGACGAGGACTCGAACACGCTCCAGGACGGACTCAATAGGCTCCCCAAGAGGGCCCTGGGAAGCAAGATTTACTAATTTTCGATGGTTTTTGAAGGATTTAGGCGTTCCAGCTTTCCCCGCTTCCCAGCGCTCCCTCACGGCCTCGCTCGGAGGCCCTTCAGATCGCTCCAAGACGGGCCAGGAGGCCCCGAAGAGGGCCCCCAAACGGCCCAGGAGGCTCCCCAGACAACCCAATTGTGCCCCAAGAGCTCCCCAAGAGAGGGCCCAGAGGGGGACAGCCAACCGATATTTTCAGGTCTCCGGCCCAAGAGGCCGCGTGTAGGCCCCCGGAGGCCACCAAGAGGCTCCCACGAAGCCCCGTGAGGCGCCCAAGAGGCCCCCAGGAAGCCCCAAGAGACCCCCAAGCGGCTCCCAGGGAACGCCCAAGAGGCCCCCCAACACACCCCAAGAAAACATGTCCCCAGAAAACCTTCCGGGGACATGGTTCATCATGGGCCCGAGAGTTCCCGGAGGCCCCCAAGGGGCCCCCAGGGAACGCCCAAGAGACCCCCCAGCACACCCCAACAAACCATGTCCCCAGAAAGCCTTCCGGGGACATGGTTCATCATGGGCCCGCGAGTCTCCGGAGGCTTCGAAGTACCATCATGCTACAGGAGAGCTGTCTGGGAAGTTGATTGGAAACATGACTGATCGCCTTCTCGCGGCCCTCCGCAGATCGTTTCGCACAAAGTTGTCCCAAGTGCCCTCTTGAATCGACGACGACGACGACGACGAGATGCCGAAGACGAGGACGACGACGACGACGACGACGACGGCGACGGCGACGACGACGACGACGAGGACGACGGCGCGCTCCAATAGGCGACGCCGACATTACGACGACGACGACGACGACGACGACGACGACGACGACGACGACGACGACGACGACGACAGCACGCCCCAACAGGCTCCCCAAGACGCCCAAACCCGTGCTCCCAGAAGGCCTTCTGGGAACCCGATTCATACGGCCTCCGCCCCCCTACACAACAATCTTCCTCGAAGGCCTTTCGGAATGCAGATTGGCATGCGTGGACAGCGGTCCACTACCTCAGTGGAGCAGTGAATTCGTCAAGGCCTGGGGCCTGCTAGAACCTGAGCGCGAGCAAAGCGCGCGCGATGGTTCTAGTGTATGTATTTATGTGTGTATATCTATATATGTATAAGCACATCGTCGGAGATCTGGGGTGGGCGCCGTCCACCCCCCCGCGGCCTGCCCCCGAAGGAGGTGCTGAGCACCTACGGCCCGCTCGCCCCCCCGGCCCTGCTCGCGAGCTTCGGCTTCGTGGGCGCCGCGCGGGCGCCTCGGCCTGCCCCCCCCCGCCTCTGCCCCCCGGGGGCCTCCGGTCCTCGGTCCGGGGACCGCGTGCCCGCCGCGCCTCCTTCGCGGGGATCCCCAGACGAAGCGGCGACCACACCGCGTGGTGAGTCAGTTTCGGAGGCTGATAGACCTCCTACCCTGACACGTCGAGTAGTGGATTGGCCATTTTCGGTTCGCGAGAGGGCGTCGCGGCCGTTAGTTTTGCGGGTCCAGGTCGGTCGGTTTCGGTCCCAGGCCGCTTTCACTAAAGGGAGGTTTACTGAAGGGAGGTTTGTCCACCGCCGACAGTTGGGATCTGGGGTCACCGCGCGACGCTGGGACTCGGGCCGTTCTCCGAGGACGTCTCGGGCGACGGGTGCCTTCGAGGTCCCAAGGCCGTGCGTTGACGGAGCGCGCGGTGAGGTCTCTTGGGACATCGAGGTCATTGCGCGGCCTGCCACCACACTGTTTTGAGAACCCCAAGGCTCGTTTGCCCGCCGCGACTGCTGCGCGCCCGGAATCGTTCATCACGGAAGACATCGGGCACAATGCCCAACGGTGGTTCTTGCGCCCTCGGAGCAAGAATTGTTGGTCGGTTTCTCTTGTCAGTCTGGCAGCGTTTCCTGTTCCATTTGGCAGCCCTTCTGTTACGCTTCGGGCAGGGTCCGTTGGGCCCTGCGCCCATATTTCACACTCCCATCCTGGTC